TTGGTCAAATATTAATGTTTTTAGTATATCATTATTAAAATTAGTCGTTCGTTTTAAACAATTGAGAACGTTTAATGTGTATCCTATCTTAAATAATTATAAAAAATTGAGAAGTATTATGAGAAGTATTATGAGATTTCCCGATCATGTACTATGATATGCTCACGTATTTCGTGGATATAACGAAAGATCCAAGATCACTAGTTAGCCTATCCCTCACCATTATCCCTAACTATCCTAGTAAGTTGTTACTTAAGGTACGGATGTTCGAAGTTTGTAATGTAGAAGCCACCCCTATCCTCCAGGGATATCTTTCAAGCCATTATCCCGTCGTACGTTCCACTTGTTTGTTCCGTTAGGGTGAAGTCACTAGGTAGACGGTTCGCTAAGAATGCTCCGTTAACGAAAAAGCTTAATTCTCCCATCTAAATGCATCCATTGCCGCTGCGGCTAAATCTTCACTGTTCATGGAAGGTTGTTAGCATTGCGCAGCCTTCTCTTAGTACTTACTAACGTAATAAAGCTATCTTAGCGTTAATTCTCGTCTGACTGTCTACTCTTTTAGCGCCTTCCATTTCAATGATATTTTCTATTCTCGTTTAGTAACTTTGATATTGGAATAACCGTGTTTCTGAGATCTGATTTCGGAAATTCTATCGGAAGTTTTGGTTTCGGTACTGTTCGAACGTTATTGTACATTTTTAATATAAACGTGGCAATTCATGGTTGGATTTTGCTTTTTGAACCATATCACTCAATGTAATTTTTTATTAAATTTTGACTTTTACTGATTCTAAAAGCTGACTTTGTTTTTGAGGTAAACGATTTTGAGGATCCACCAAGTATACGAGCGTTAAAGGTACGTGTCTACTACGACTGCAACGTGTAACGAAAATTCTACGGGCGTACGTGGTCGCGCGCGGGTGTTCGCGTCGCACGAGCAATGGTCTCTTAGCCCTTACCTTCGGTGCACGCGTACTTAATGGATCCACAAAGCCATTTTTCTCGGAAATGAAGCCTCGAGCTCAATTTTACCATTTTCGATTTTCTTCTTATTTTGCTTTAAATATTTTTTATGGTAACTGAACCTACTGTGCTCCTGACAATAAACTATATTAAATGATTTAAAATGATAAAGTTATAATTATAATTAGAAAGTGATAACACTTCTTAGATAACATTGTGTTCCTAATAATAATTATGCTAATAATTCTTAATAATAAGATAAATGCTAGTTTATCCAAATATGAATGCATAAAACTACACATAATTAAATAAGTAATTGTTTATAAGAAAAAATTGTAGATATAAGTGTACCTATGAATATCACGGACAAGTTTAGGAGTTTGACTATTGTAGCCATTGAAACATCGATTATATTTGGACAAATAGGGAGACAAATTTATTCCGATAAGCGGTTTAGTGGATGATCGGTTTTAGAGAACTAAAGAGGACAAAGCAAAAAGGAGCATCCTGAGATATATGTTATATTCAAAATACAAACGATAAACCCATATAATTTGAAATGTAACACGCAACTTGTTTTATATTTGGATGGGCACTTTGCTGAATAACCGTATTTGAATAAATTACGTTTCTTTTAAGGGACTCGTTTACATAATCGATTGCTCCACTTAAATGCAATTCTTTACGAAAAGTTTAGTACAGAAAAGTGTAAAATTATAAAAGTATCTTATTTTAAATATGATTGTAAATGTTATTGTAGAACAATTCAAGTACTCGTGTCACATAAATGCTATTTATATGCCTGTATGTCCTATATACTCTTAGTTAAAAAAATAATATACGTGTACTATCTTTAATTTTTGAATGATGGATATCTAATTTTGTGTCAGTAACAAACAGGACTACAAGTTCAAGATCAGAAAAAATCTGTAGGTATTATGTACAATAAGGAAAGTCTGATAAATACAATGATCTAATTGATAGCACACTTCTAACATGCTTACTACATACTCGATTTAATATAAGACTTATTGCAATTAGTAATGCTTATACCTAGTTATACCATAATGAGTGGATCCTTTTTTGCGTTCCATAACTTCGAATATCTTATTCGCTAGCAATTTATATAGTTTTTATATCTTTTGATGATGTAAACTGACCCAATCTAATAGCATTTTTTAATTCATTAATTTCGTATTATTTTCTACTTTTGTTCATTGGTTGAGAGAGGTTTTAACAATTTGAATGTTAAGTTGGGCAGACGTACTGGCCCTGGTTTTTTTTGTGCCCTAAAATATATGTAGATGAGTTTTGAAATGTGTAGCACTGCGTTGTCATGTTGAAATATAAAACTGCTACCGGATGTATATATGATATATGCATAATGCATATTTATTCAGATGTTTTTTCTACTACATTCATGTAATTTTTGCTGTTTATTTTGTCGATGATGAATTTTATTTTCGCTTTATCATATATGTATATGCTACTATTCAATTTGAGGATAGGGCGAGTGCCTAAATGGGTGATTTAAAACGAGGCGCTTGAGAAAAAGAAAATGAATCTGAGAGTTTGTTCTTCTTCTATCGGTATGGAAGAGAGAGATTGGAAGAAACTCTTATTACGTATTTTCTCTACTTTTTATTATTAACAAAAATACATTTGATCTGCTATGCTATATATGCTCGACCTATTTTCTTACGTCTATGATACCCACTGGAGACGTTTCGCATACACTGAGCTAGATTTACCGTATTCTTCGTTACTGATTCAAAATCGGGAATCATTGAAAAATTAATGCTCACTGTGTAAAGAATGTATTTTCGTACCCACGCAAAATCTAATATTGCCTTGTTTATATAAAACAATTATTTGCAGAAATTCATTCTTCTTAAATATTCAATTTCTATACTATAAATAGAAGTTGAATGGTGCTGTGTAAATTTCTTCAGTTTTTTTTTATAATTCTAACATATAGAAAAACTGCGTCGAATAAGAACGACTCACCTTTATGCAATTAATGTGCAAATGCAGAGAAAACGTTTACATTATAAATAACACCTGCTATCTTTTTGATCAGCATCTATTACAGCCTGTAATATGGATTTACTCACGTGTATACGTGTATACATATGATACTTTAAGATGATTTAATATTTAATATTTTATTTCTCTCTACAACGTAGAATTGTATTGCTGCTCGTTAATGTGTCACGTACACAGGCATGTACACCTGTCACATGTCGTCATGAAATACGTCCCCTTCGATTGCACTGTTGCGTTGGTGCGTTAGATATGATCACTCGGGCGAAGTTCTACTAGAGCTCGAAATATTGCTATATCGTTGAAATACGTATTTCGTATTCAATGTTTGTCGAAACGTCTCATTAGAGGCAAGTTGGATTTGCGAAATAAATAGAAAAATCTGCCCATACTAATGTTGAAACGATTAAAAAGGAAAATGTGAAAGTTAGAAATTAAGAACTCGACGGAAATACTTTTTTTAACACTCAAATGAAGAAAAATCGATGGTAAGAGTTGAATAACGAGGACGTACGTAACTAACGAGCTGGAACGAGTCTCAGTGGCCGCAGGTTTCGCAATAATTAAAAGGAGACCGTTATATACCCTATGCCGTGATTTGCCTCCAGACATTTCTTCTTTCTGATTTCAGTTTCCTTCCCTTTTTTGTTTTTGCTATAATTGTTCAAATGAATGCTTCATTATGGTCGCGTAAAATGGTTTCAATAGCAAACGTATAAAGCCCATTTAGTTTAATATTTAGGGAACATTTTGTTCCATCATCGTATAATCGCAAAATAAATTAATTATGTGGAAAGATTCATATTCATTAATAAAACAGTAAGAATAGATAAACCATTATAATATTTAAAGATTTTATTAGGGAATTAAGAACAATAAAATTTTAAATACTTGGATTAACGATAAGCGTCATTCCTATTAAGCACCATAATTGCTCTAGTACTTAGTGCTACTCCAACTAAAGTTCTCGGCTTAAAGGCTATTTCTCATTTTGTGTAGAGTGACAGGTGTATACTCGTATTATCTGACATGAGAGAGAAATGCAGAATATCTAACGTTAATCTTCCATCTTTCTCCTAATCTTGTTGACTGTTCAATGAAGATAAGGATTTTAAATAATTCAAATGAATTCATGGAATTTGAAGAAGTTATTAACTTTTCTGTTTTAGAAAAGAACAAAATTCGATGAAACACAGATATTATTCTCAGTTTATATATAGTGATATATAAAACAACTAAGAATTTGCTACATAAATGTTAATTTGTAATATTGCAGATACCTGAACTGCAATTTAATCAATCGTGCCTTGACATCATGTGCCACTCGAACATCCAGTTTTATAGTGAAAATCTCTGATAGAAGAATCATTCAATTTAACACTTAATGCGTTTCAATTAATATGCATTGACCGAATACGTACAATAATTATTAATCTAATAATAAAATCGTCTGAGTGCATGACAATGACGGAAATCAGTGCGATCGTTTTAAATTGTCGAGAAGCGAGCCCTGCGGGGTTAGCAGTACGGCAGAGATGAAATATATCGGTGAAACGCGTTCGTCGGCCCGGTCTCATACGAGACGCGAACGTCTCGTCTGGGCTACGGGGTTAAACACGATATACAATAATAAAAGCATCGATCGAAAAAAGAATGGAACACAAACAAACGATTTTACTAGCACCTGCGTTGAGCAACAGCAGCTGTTGGCGTAGGGATGCTCCCGAAGGAACTTGGACTGGCCCGGGCCCAGGAGAATTACTACGCGCCGCTCTGATCCTCGCGCTCAGTCTAGGTATTCTGTGCGCGAACCTGTTAGTGATATGCGTCATCAACAGTAGACGATACAGCAAATATATTCACGCACAGGTTAGTAAATCGTTCAAACCATCTTATCTTTTAATAATAGTGGAAGTGGTAGATTGAGTCTGGATTTCGGATACTCCATTATGTTTGTTACTTTCTTCATTTACGTACACAAATTCAATTGAAGATTGTTCTGGCCATAAGCTAAACTAGTGAGACATCTTCGGAACTTTTTTAACAAATAGTTATTACCACATTACAATCACATGGAAAAGAAAGAAACTGAGAAGCTCATTTTGGAATTATATCAATTTGAAGTTCTCATTCATATTTCTATGGAGTTTAGTGGAATGGAGAGCTACATTGCTACATTAAATTGAAAAAGAATTAACGAAAAAGTAGTGTCAGGATTTTGAAATATTTTACAGTAATACAATGTTAAAATGAGGAAGAAAAAAAATAGTTAAACGACTTTAATAATTATTTTGTTGTACTTCAAATAACACATACCTTTTAATGAGAATAGCTAGACAGCAAAGTCAGAATACATTATATGTATTTAGAATGCGTATAACTTTTTGCGGAGATTGTATAGCTAGAAATCTTATCTCAAAGACTTCTATTTAAAATAGGAGAAAAATGAATTTTGTGCTATCATTAAAATGTTTGAATTTACAATCATTTTAAAAGATTCATTACTCTTTACTTTCATTACCTCATTGAGTACGATATTTGAAATTACAATTATTTACTGAAAAAAAAGGAATACGACACCAGGACTCAATTTACCATCATTTGTAGTATATGTATAATATAACCTTGTAAATAATGATTTTGACTACTGTACACTTCTTTTCTTTCTTCTTATTGAAATTATAAATAACAAGGAACAAGTAGGAAGTAAAAATAGGAAATTAAAACAATTCTTACATAATATTACTATAATATGCATAGATTTATCAGAGTTATATTTGTTCCATAATGCCTGTGTATATGTATACAATTGCGTAGTGGTTGAATAATAACAGATGAGTTGTCGCATTTTTTTTCCTTTATTTCTGTATAACCGCTTTTCACTTGAATATGGAAGTGTGTATGTATGCATCTTTCTTTCAAGTCAAGATCTTATTTAGTTTTTCGTAAGATCTCTAGGCAGATTTTTTTGTATCATTCTTTCAAAAAAACACAAAAAACTTTCAAAAAAATTTGTTAATCTTCGTGGACGACATTTTTTCTTGTGCCATTGTATACTGCCGTATATAACCTCAGGAATTTAATCTTTCGTGGAAACTGGTTCACAGAATCGAGTGTATCTGATTTTCTCGTGCAATAAAATATCTTTCTTAATAGCAGAAAGTACATTAATATAATATAGCTATTTAGTAGTACTTCCTCTATAAAAATATTTAGTACGATAAAACATATTTTCTACGTGTTATCTATAAAATTGGTATTGGAAAATTAATTTTTGTATATTTTTTCATATTTATTATTGCAATTCTTTATATACTTTACGAGATTATAATATGCGTGTGTACATCTGTTATTATTTTCTTGGCTATACCCCAGGCAACAACGTATGATTGATTACGGATAGTTGGTTGCGAATAACAATTAGATACGCGTGTAGAATAAATCATTCATTATGAAAATTTCTTGATAAAAACGAGTATTATATTGTTCATACTATTAACATTGGATTCCCTTATATTAATTAAATAATACTACTTAAGTTTGGACTTACGATTTTCATGGGAAGAATATCAGCAATTTGTAATTCCATAAAAATGTAATTAATAATGATAATAATTATGTAAAAAGATGTTAAAGTATGATTTTAATGTTTGCCGACCTGGCATTTAAAATCAACAAGTTAGATTAACAAGCAAAGTTGTTCGACCCCGAATTCTGATCTTAATAAAACTTTGTGCGTATGTAGAGCATAATGAAGTATCCGAGGTCTTTTTTCTCAAGGATTTAGTAAAAGTTTGAAATCGGCTTCCATTCTCTTCCCAAATGCAATTTTATAAGTCAGATGATGGAGAAATTGTTTTCGTTCTCTGATGATTTGATTAAAATGTCTGCATTTTATTCTTTATGTAGATGAATGGCTAACTTTATGACAACAAGCAAATATTATTCTATCCAGTCCAGATTCTAAGTATAAACTATAATTCTCAGTGTACCTACGATGCTCCAGTTCCAAAATTTTTTTTTGTAAAATCAATATTATGTACTTTACAATTATATAAAAGTCAATATTTATACACTAATGCTTTCCTCTATTTTTTAATCTCTGATGCATCATACAGACAGATCGAATTAACTGTTTTCTATAAAAAGAATACATACTTGGCACACTCAAAGCATAATACACACAGAGAAATAATCTTTCTATTATAAACCATTGTTTTATTTTCAATGGTACAATTACCACAATATTATTCAGATCTAATATTTGTTATGTGAGTACAATTAACAGAAATAATACAAATAAAGAATAAGTGTAAATAACCTTAAAACATTAGGTACATGTACAATAACAATACTTATATAATATATTAAAAAATTAAACATATGTATGATTTCAATGGGACACTTTATAATAAATGTTATCTTTCAAATGCACGAGCCATTGATGCAAGAAAGAAGTCTTTTTAAAATTAGTTTGCGTAATGAATAACACCCCAACAATGTAATCTAAACGATCAACAGGTTCTCTTCAACTTTATTGCAGCCAAAGTACTTGCTGACGAGTTTGGCGAGTAATGATCTTGCTATTGGTCTCCTGGTTACGCCGTTTGGTTTTCTACCAGCTGTCTATGGATGTTGGCCTTACGGGGAAGTCGTCTGTCAAATACAGGTAATACTACTTACTTGGAGCATACTCACTCAGTTGCACATAGATACATAATAAAATCCATCTGTTCTACTAAAGAATCGATTTATATCTAGGAATTATATATTTTAAGCTTTTAATTTTTATGGACTGATCTCTTTCGTGAAACGCGTCCAAGGTAATTTGATATTTCTTAATTTGTTTAATTATATTTCTATTGATAAAATGGAAGTGTGCAATATTCCAGACAGGCTTTCATGGTCGCTATGAGATGTAAAAATTAATTTATTAAAAATTGGAAACAATCTACAGTAAATTCTATTTGAATACGTATATTAATATCTACACTAATTTTATATTGTATTATGATTTGAATCCCTTGTCATGCAGTGAAACAATACATTTATGATACCTTTGATCTGCCGCCTTATTGTAATGACAACGAGCAGCGGGCAGCGGACAGCGATCAGTTCCTTGCTTGGACCCAGACAGCAGCCGGTATGACTTGCGCACTTGGTCAGTCGTTCCACAGAAATCAGCGGGCCCCTTTAAGGCAACCAGTTTTTACATGCTTTTCCCTCTACCTCTCACTTTCCACTTCAGCACTGCTTTTACTGCCCACCTCTTGCTACCCTCTGCCAGCAGACCGTAAGTGGGAATGGCCCTTTATGCAGCAGCATATCATGATTCAATAATATGTCCTATACAGAATATCCTCATCGAGTGTATATAGATTGCTATAATACTTTCTATTGTAATTGAACCATTACATGTGTTAAATTTACTAACGATAAAATCATTGCGTACCTAAAATTTAATGATGCCGAGATGAGCATTCACAAAGCGCGAAACATTGCAAGCATTAAGTATTTGGTAAATTTGTTGTCTTATAAACTGTCTGTCTGGGATCTGCAAAATTATGTTAATTCCACCAAATGTAAGACTTTTATAAAATTAAGTATTCTCAATATTGCCTAAATTCTTATATTACAAAGACCTTTGTGGACAACTGTTTAACAAAAGAATTGCAGTTCACTAAAAACTGATTTATGATATTGAGAAGTGGTGATATGATTTGATATACTTTGAAGTGTTTTGTATCCGTGCTAGTGCAGTATGTAGTGACGTCGAACGGCAACGGTGAATTTGATCTGTACTTGCCAATAGGTCGCGAAATCACTAGAGAGCCTCAACAAATGAAATCTACGAGAGTCTGAGTAAAAAGTAAAACTACTTGCGGGATTGCCGGCGAATTCTCTTTCTTGTTTCGATCGGGTACTGCGGCTGCCGTTGCTAGGGGAACATAAATCTCGAATCGATTGTCATTCGGACGAACGTAGACTGAGCAGGTTGATTTATTCTTCGATTAGTTCAACAAACTGTTCATGGTCAGAACAATTCGGTCTCGCCTATGACACACTTGTTATATCAAACATGTGTGCACCTACTGGTGACTGTTTAAAAACAAGAAAATAAAGTATTAAGCAATTACATGTTCACAAATACGAAGTTATAAAGCACATCCCTATTTTCTCAGTTATCCTATTGAGGACGTTATCGTGAGAAAAATATAGCATTATGGGAAAGAGAAAATAAAAGAGACCGATATCAAGATTATGATCGGGAATTCTGATAAGATGTACTGACTAGCGGAAGAAATACCGGAAAAGGTACCGACTGCAGGAAGCACAGTCGCAAGTTCCTGAGGGTGATAATTTCCTTACCGCGGTATGAACATGCCGCTGACATTTCCCGCCCATTTTTCTTCGATTTCCGCTTCAGGAATTCTCGAAAATATAGGGAATGCTATAAGGCGATTTAACGCGATAACGTAGAAAGTATACAGTGAATAAAATATTACACAAGTGCTATCTAATGAATATCGATTAGTACGAAAAACGTGAGATACATGATTGAACAAATTTAAA